TAAAGTAAAAATATCTAACCCCAGGAGAGCTCGGTTTTATTGCACTTAACTTTTAGCCACACCGTGGCTGGTATTGCTGACAGGCCTGCAGGAGACCTATCCTCGCTGAGTCCTGCCTTTCCACATCTTTGGAGAAAGAAGCCTCCTTAGACAGTGCCCCTTGTTGGGCGCCTGCCTACGGAAGGCCAATGAGCCCAGGAGTCCCTGTGGCCGTCCACTAGTCAGGTGGACTGTGATGGCGCCTCTCATCCCATAGGAGAATGCCAAGAGCCCCGGACTTGGAACAGCTGGAAGACGGAAGATCTGGGTCTGGGAGAGCCATGGGAGAGTGGGGGTAGGGGGAGGTGCTCACGGGAAATGATTTTTGGGAGGATCTGCTGAATTTGAAGTGTCTATTAAATATTCAGTCTGAAAATGAGAGAGGTGGGGAATAAAATTATTAGGGACAGTGCAGATTGCAAAGACAAAGTGTTCTCAGGGGACAAGTGCATGTAGGAGAAGCAGTAGAAGAGGTCAGCGAGACTGGAGGGAACCCTGGAGAGGGGAGCAGTGAAGAAGTGAACAGCAGAGGTGCTGAGGACCAGATGAGCTGAGCGAGGACCGAGAAGGGGCCCTGTTGGGACATGAGCAACCTTTGGGAGAACAGTGTCCATGAAGAGGGTAGAGCAGCACACGCTTCAGTCAGATAACTCCTGGGTATTTATTGGTTGAGACTTCTTAACCAGTGGCTCTGAGCCTGTTTCCTCATCTGTAAAATGGAGATAACTTATGTGCAGGGTGGTGAGAATTTAATAACACTTGAAGTGTCTTGCTTATGGTAGACTCAATCAATACTCCTTTTACTTTGGGCTGCATTTGAAGATTTTGAAGCAAAGGAAAAGAGGCAGAGGTTGTTAGCTTCAGGAAGGTGACAGCAGGGTGGAAAGGAAGTTCCAGGTTAAGGGAGGTGTGTGCTTGAGGGAAGGAGCCAGTGAAGAAATGAGGTTGAAGCTTCACTTCCCTAAGAGAGAAGTTGATCTGTTTGAGAAGGGCTGAGAGCATGCGTTGAGAAAGCCCTCTCCAAAGAAGCAAGAGCATGCCTTTGCTCTCAGCAAGAAGCCTGGAGCGAGCTAGAGCTGTGTGGCAGGCGAGGGAGAAGTTGGGCCTATGCCCCAGAGGACTGGAGAGCCAGACTTCAAACTCCAGTGGCTCCACGTCCCACCAAGTTGTCTTGGGCCAAGCGAAAGAACTTTTCCAAGCTCCTGCTTTACCGGCCCATGGTGCTTTGAGAATGTGAGGTGTTTTCGATGTTGTTTGGGGGTTGTGCACCTGATGGCCTCTATTAATCCCGTGGACCATGTGATCTGTGGGTGTAGTGTCTAAGTACCGGCTTTGGTGTTAGAAAGACCTGCGGTAGAGTTCTCACTCAGTCGTATTCTTATTAGCTATGAGACTTTGGGCAAGTTCTCTAGTTTTTCTAAATCTTGGTTTCTCCTTCCACATACATTTAGAGGACTAGGATGTGTGTTTGAATTTTGATAGGTGAGGAATAAATGAGATGTGGGTGAAGCACTCTGCTTGGTAGCTGGTACATAGTAAGCACTCAATAATACAGCCAAAGGGTGGGACCAGCTGAGGTTGACTGAGAATGCAAGGAAGCTACTGAGCAGCAGGAGGGCCCAGCAGGGGCCCAGGCTTTAAGCAAAGGAACAAAGAACTATTGTAATTGTGAAAAACGAGGCATCTATTAACAGACCTCACATACACACCCCCCCCCCTCCTCTCCCCTCCTCTCCTCCTTCCCTGTGTGATCCAACCCTCCAGCTCCCTGTGACACTAGGGTAGGCATGGGAGCTTAATCATCAGATGGTGAGGACTTGGACAGCATGGTTTCCAAATGCATCCCAGTCCCATGATCTCCTGGGGTGGGTGACTTCTTGAGCATCCTGTAGTCGGACCCCTATGCCTGCCCTGTAGGTGCCCCCTGCTTCATGCGCTGCTGTGCCCACAGGACCGGGGCTTCTGTGTGGAGGTGAACACAGCCTTTGAGGACTTCGCCCACGTCATAAGCTTTGACAAGAGGGCTGCTGCGCTGGACGCAGGCAACATCAAGCTGACCTTCAATAGTGTGAGGGGTTAGGCGGGGCGGGGCTGTAGCCAGGGCTCCTGCACAAACTCATCCCTGTGTCTCGTTCCATTCCTTCTGGCTCACCATCCCAGTATAACTACCCCCTGATGATGGTAGGAGCCCAGACCCCAACTTCCCACCTCCAAAGGTATGCCTGAGGGGGGGCCCGGGCACCCACCCTCCCTGTTGACCCTGCTCTGTGTGCTTTCTGCCCTCAGCTGCTGGAGAAAGCAGAGGCGCGGGAGAGAGAGCGGGAGAAGGAGGAGGCACGAAGGCTTCGGCGCAGGGAGGCCGCCTTTCGAAGCATGCTGAGGCAGGCCGTGCCTGCTCTGGAGCTGGGCACTGCCTGGGAAGAGGTCAGGACTGCAGCCAGGCGCCACACGCCACCCCTCAGTCCTGAGGGCAGCGTTGCTTCTCCACCACTGGTGGCTCACCCCAGTCATAGCACAGCTGGGTCCAGCTCCGGCTCCCTTCCTTCCTCCGCCCCAGCCCTGCCCTGTGCTCATGGCGGCACCCATGCCGTGCCGGGGCTGGTCTGATCAGCAGTGCTCTCCCGTTCAAGGTCCGTGAGCGCTTTGTGTGTGACTCAGCCTTTGAGCAGATCACCCTGGAGTCGGAGCGGATCCGGCTCTTCCGGGAGTTCCTGCAGGTACTGGAGGTGAGGCAGACCTGGTCCGCTGCATCTGTCTGGGCGCTTGAACACCCAAGGCCAGCTCCACAGAGCTTCCCATCCCCCCGCCCCTGCAGCTCTCCTTTCTCTGGACAACTTAAGGGTGGTGGGGTCTTAGATGCCCTGGAGAGGCCTCAGGTTTGCGGCTCAGAGGAGGCAAAACCAGATTTTAGGTTGCAGGGCCCTTCCTGAGGCTAACCCTGGTGCCTGCCTTACTCCTCCCTCTGCCTCTACCAGACTGAATGCCAGCACCTCCACACCAAAGGCCGGAAGCACGGCAGGAAGGGCAAGAAGCACCATCGCAAGCGCTCCCACTCACCCTCAGTGAGTTGGCGGGTAGAGGGAGGTGGGTGTGAGGCTGGACTATCTTGAGGAAATAGGAACCCCTTTTCTTTTCCCCTACATCACCTCCCCTGGAGGGAGATTTGAGGGTTCCTTTGGCCCTGGATCCTGCTCTTTGCCCCCAATTCCCAGACTTGAGGGCTTCTGAAGGCCAGGGATCCCCCACGCTGACATGTATCTACTGATCTGCCCAGGGCTCCGAGTCAGAAGAGGAGGAGCTGCCCCCGCCCTCTCTCCGACCCCCCAAACGGAGGCGGCGGAACCCTTCTGAGTCTGGCTCCGAGCCCTCTTCCTCACTTGATTCAGTTGAAAGTGGGGGTGCTGCCCTTGGAGGACGGAGCTCCCCATCCTCCCGCCTTCTCCTTGGATCAGGTAAGAATTGAGAGTTGAAGAAGTTGACCCAAACCTCAGTCCCTGAGGGTAGAGTGAGTGGATCGGGAGGGTAGGAAGAACTTCCCATCCCTGCCCAGGCAGGAAACTGGGAGAAGGGACGAAAACTGGACTGAGACCTCAGGCAGGTCCCTGTCTAAAGAATGAGCAGACAGATGGACTGCGGCAGAGGAAAGGGTGAGCCCTCCCTTCTCCCATGGGACTTAGACTGGGGGGGTTTCTATCTCCAGATCATGGCCTTCGGAAAGCCAAGAAACCAAAAAAGAAAACTAAGAAGAGAAGACACAAGTCGGTGCGTAGAGAAGAACTACCCAAGGCCCGGCTATTGTGTGAGATCTCTTCCACCCGCCTCCGGGCTGTCCTTCACAGGAACTGAGGCGGCGGGCTCTGGGATCTTACAGAACAGTCCTGAGAGTGAGACAGACCCTGAGGAGAAAGCTGGCAAGGAGAGTGATGAGAAAGACCCAGAGCAGGACAAGGACAGGGAGCTCCGGCTGGTAGAGCTCCCTAACCGCTCCCCAGGTTTTGGAGTCAAGAAAGAGAAGGTGAGAGGCAGGTGGCCGGCCCCAGCCCGGGCAGCTCTGTCCAGGCCTCCTCAGCCCGCAGGGAGGTGCTAGGTGAGCTGTGCCTTTGTTCCACCAGACGGGCTGGGACACGTCAGAAAGTGAGCTGAGTGAGGGCGAGCTGGAGAGGCGGCGGCGGACACTCCTGCAGCAGCTGGATGACCACCAGTGACCACCAGCTGCTCCGCCTCGGGTCTGTGTGAGGCTGTGGCTCCTAGAACACCCTCACCGTCTGCCACAGACTCCTTCGCTAGGCTGGTCTGTGTCCACTTTTTCTCAAGTAACCCCACCCCCAACACACCATTGCTGGCACCTCCCAAGGTTGTTCATGGTGTTGAAGGGTCCCCCCACTTCCCGGACAAGTAGTGCAGTCCTTGCCCTCAGCCCCAGAGCAGAGATTGATGGTGTATGCCATGTGGGGTGGGTGGTGCCAGTAGATAAAATGTGAGAAGGGGCCTCCAGGGAAGAGTGACAGGCTGGTGGACACAACCTGGGTGGCAGAGGGTGGGGTCCTTACCCTCTAGCATCGGTGCCTGCTTCTGCCTGCCTGGGCCCTAGGGCTCCACCACTCCTTCCTCCAGCCCTGGGACCCAGTGTATGTGTGTTTTGTTTTGTTTTTGTTTTTTAAATAACAATATTTATAACATGGCCAGTGGCTCTTTTGTCTTCTCCATATACAACTGGGACAGGCTGGGGACTAGGCAAGTGCCGCCATGGCCAGCAGAGGGCAATAGTGTCTCGTGGCAGGCCTGCCTGCCTTTGTGTGGTTGGAGGGCACCCAGCCTGGCTCCACACTCCAGGCTTCTGTGCTCACCTCCCCCAAGCAGATGGCAGCTCTGCCAGGCCTCCTTTTCATCCCTGTGGCTCAGATCAGGCTAAATGGCCACCCTGACCCTCCACACTCAGAAAGAGGAGACAGAGTCAGGCCTGGTGCTTCAAGCCTTTGTTGAAAGAAGGGCGAGGGTTTATGTACAAGACAGAAGGGAGGTGGTACATGTACAAAAACGACTGGGTCCCTGTATTTCCTTCCAGGACCTAAGAAACTTGCAGGGGACTGAGAAAATAGCTAAGACCACCATGCTCCCCGCCCCCCAAAAAGACTTAGCTGAGGAAAGGAAGTGAAGATGCTGTTGGCACACCCTTTCTCTAGCTGTCTTAGGGCTGGGGCAGAGAAAACCCCTCTGGCTACCTCGGCAAGGACACAGTCAGCTTGGAATGGAAAGGGCCAGGTCTGTGGGCAGTGAGCGTGGCATCTCTCCTACACCCTTATCACTAGGGCACAGCTGAGCGGGGCCCAGGCTTAGGAGGGCCTTGCTCCTGGTAAAAGGTGATCTGAGATTGGCAGGGTCCCAGGGCTCCCCAAGCCTGGACTTTTCTAGACCACAGCTGACCACAGGGCTGTGAAAAAGAAGGGAAGAAAAAAAAAGGGGTAGTTGCTTTTCTCTCATCCCTCTGGCTCTAATGACAGATGGGCCTAGATGTCCCAATGTAGGCTAAAGCTGGAAATGGTTTTTCCAGCCCTGAGCTGACCCTTGGTGACCCTTCGGGAAATGAAGTTGAAGACCTTGGGGGCAAAGTGCAGTACTGGAGGCACCAGGGCCATGTCAGGCCCCAAAAGACCTGGTGCCCACAATGGCGGCAGGCGAGATGCAGCTTTGAGAGCTGGGGTAGACACCAGGTCGGGAGCAGCATAGCCCTCTGCTGGGCCCTTGGCCGATTCCAGGGTTCCAGGTCCACTGGCAGGACTCAGGATGGAAGTGCTTCTGCCTCCTAGAGGGTCTCAGTGGGGGCCTGGAGCCCGAGGGGGGCCACTGGGTGGCGCAGCACTCCTGGCTTGGTGGCGAACGACAATGGGCTGGCAGTGGAGGCCTGTGGGGGAGACAGAGGCCGGTAAGCAGGCAGGCGGCCAGGCTAGGCCCACCCTCTGTAGGACAACCCCTTCAGGAGCAGCCCACAGGCAGGGCCAGAGAAGCAGCAGCCATGAGGCCGATGAGGAAGGAGCTTAAAGAGGCTGGAGGGGACGGTCAGAGCATGGCTGGGGCTCTGCGTTTTCAGAGGTTCTGGAGGGGTGAGTAGAGGCCCCTGGGCAGTGGTAGAAACAAGGTAGACTCAGCAAGAGCCAGAATTTGGGAAGAGATCTCACGCAGACTAGATATCGGGAAACAGAGGTCAAGGGAACCGGATGCTCCTGGGGCAGAAGCTGCTGCCAGAGCTTCCCAAGGGGGAAACAAGAACAAAGGACACCTGGCCCAGGAACGGAGCTGAAGCTCAAGCCGTCACAGGCCGTGGCCTGGTCCTGCCTGCTCGGAACTCCCTCCATCTTCTACACCTTAGTAGAAGCTAGGACAGCGTTAGTGGGAGAGAGACCACTTCCCTGAGGGCACATGCAGGACACAAGCCACGCTTCTCAGAGCATGGGGCATGCAGGGAGGCAAGTATGTTACCCCATCACTGGGAGGCAGCCAAGTCATGCAGAGGAGGAAGGTGCCTGTGGGTCCCAGCAGGAGTTCTGGGAGGTGGGCATGCAGAGGGCAGCTGTGCTGCCCAGTACCTGTCAAGGGCCCCAGCCTTAGGGGTTAACAGTTTGACTCATCATGGTGGGCTGCATCGCAGAAGAAGCGTGAGCCCCGCTTGGCAGTACGGGCCGTGAAAGGGACACTCTTCAGCACTGTGGCCCAGGAGAGAGACACCATGTCAGGCCCCGTGGGGGTCGGGTGGGAGGAGAGCCCAGGGCATATGGTTGGTTTTGGGGAGCTGGGCCCAGCGCCCAGGCCCCAGGAAGGACAAGGGCCCCACCTGTGATGATGTCCTCAATGGTACCATCCTTCCCCTCGTACACAGGCCGGTGCTCCTTAGCCTGGCGCCGCCTCAGCTCTGCAATTAGCTCCTGCTGTTGCCACTTGTTCCTCTGGGATGGGGTCTAGGGGCGAGCATTTGAAGGGAATGCAGTCATCACTGACCTACCATGGGGCTGGTTCCTGCCCCAAGATGCAGTCTGAGGATGTCCTCAATTGTGCATGGCAGCCCAGCCCCCATCCTTGCCTGGGAATCCCCTCCCAAAGCCCCTCTCCCCATCCCTTTGGACGCCAGCCCCAGGCCCTCTGGGTGGTCTGGGCTCCAGTTTTCCATCTCTTCTCTCCCTCCGTTTGCTCCACCCCCTTCTAATCCTCTGCCCAGTCTCCTCCAGGTCTCCGCTCTTGGTCCCACCCACCTTGGCATCCAGTTTCTTGGCTTCCTGAGCCAGCTGCTTCTCCCGCATTACCTCCTCCTGCTTCTTGCGGGCTTCATTCTCTTGTTCTGCTTCCTAAGAACCATGGTGGTGGGGGTGGGGAGCGGGTGTGAGGCTCACACAGGCTGCGAGGGGAGGGGCTGACACTGAGGGTGGAGAGTGGGTGGCAGTGGGACCAGCAACCCCAGGTGGCCACCCTCTGGAGGGGCACTTCCTGCCCCAAACAATGACAGGAAGGGTCTGGGCCCCCACCCTGCCCACCAGTTCACAGCTAAGAGGCCTGTGGCCAGTTTCCCTCGCTCCCTCCCAGGACTCAGAGGAGGAGACGGAAAAGGCCCAGACTTGAAGCCCAGCCCTCTCTCCCCATAGCAGTTTTCTCTCAGTCTTTTCTTTCAAAGCCTCTCTTCTGCTCACCTTGTAAGAACGAATAAATCGGACAAATACTGGGAAGAACACAGAAGGAGGCGTGGTCTTGGGACTCTCACCAAAGTAGCGCACAACTGCGTTGTAGGCCTCCTGGGAAAGGGTGGGAAGAAGGGGTCAGCCTGGCGGGGAAGGAGAAGCCAGCTCCCCCCAGGGACGGGAGGCCCAAAGCAAGCCATGCCCAGCCCCTACGGCCTGGAAAAGAACCTGGGCTCCCAAAGCTTCCTCGAGTTTGCCTCTGCCTGCCACTCCCAACGTCCCCCACCCAGCCCCCCCATTAAGCCAGCTGGCCAGCCACTTGACAAAAGCTCTTTGATCTAAACCAGAACTAAGCCCACCGAGTGGGGCACAGCGCCTTAACCCTGGCTGCTCCCACCAGCCTCCACCCTGTGCTCACTTCAGCCGTCTTGGCATCGCGCTGGAGCTTGTCCAGTTTGCCTTCATTTGTGCTGAGGAAGTTCCGAAGGACACTGTTGTCATGTATGCTGCACTCCCGTCGAATCAGCTCCATGCCCCGGCCCAGCTCCTTCACATCTAGCAGCACGTTCTCCAGGGACACTGTGGTCACCAGAGCCCAGGTTGAGGCCCGCCCAGGGCCTGACATGCCCACCTCCCAGCCCAGGGCTACAGCGAACTCCGGCGCTCCCCCTCAGCACGGGCTCCCTCAGGTTCTCATGCTCTGGCTTCCTGAACTACCCAGGTAGACAGAGAGAGGGGGCACCGCAGCCGGCGGGCTCTCACAGGGGCAAGGAAAAGGAATGCAGGCTGGGAGCTCACGACCCCAAAGAGCAAGGTAGCAAAGGGAGGCATGCTGCTCTCCAGAACAAAGCTGCCTCAGGCCTGCCCGTTTTCATGAGTGGGGCAGAAATAACAGCTACCTCATGTCTGAGGGGGGCTTTATGGTTTTTCTAAGTGCTTCCCATACATCATAGAGAAATGCAGTCTCTGGGGCCGGCCTGAAGGAGTTGGGCGTGAAGAGCCACTGTGGCCTTCCTCTACCTGCTCCCACGCACCCAGGTGGGGAGGGCTGGGCGGGTCCTGATGCCTGCAGGCGGTTCCGTCTAGGGTGGCCCCTGCCCATGGCCCCAGCGGAAAGCTTTGAAGGTGTCAGAAAAGAAGAAAAGCCAGAAACAAAGGGACCCAAGTGTTCCTTCTCCTCATAGCTTCCTGGGATTGTCCTGGGCTGAACATGAGGGCAGGCTCGGGGGCCCAGACTCCCTCACCTGCTGCAGCCTTTTCCACAAAGTGCAGCTCATGCCAGAAGTTAGCCAGGTCTGGGTACTTCTCCTTCACCGTCAAGGCAATGAAATGCAGCAGTGTCATCTTTCTGTCAGTGGACTTGGTGTCCAGCAGCTGGGAGACGGGGGCAGGGGGCAATGCAAGAGAGCTAAGCTCCCTGGCTCCACAGCCGTTGCCCCACAGGCTTCCTGGCCCCGTGTTGCCCTCACCATCTTACCAGATCCAGGCTCTGGAGCTTGAAGCCGTACACTGCTCCCCGCTTGCTGCTGTTCATGTAGTTCCCCAGTGCAAGTATGATCTGTTGAGAAGACGCAGAGGAGAAGGTCAGGCCAAGCCCTGAGGGCTCCCTCCTCCTCTCTGCACACCCCAGGACTTGGGGCCCACCAGCAACCCCATCCACAACCTCTCCTCACCTCCAACATCTGCTTCAGCTTCTGTGAGGACTTGACAGAGGCAGAGGCTGCAATGATGGCATTGAGTTGCTGGAAAGCAGGATGAAGAGCTGAGTAACCCCAGGCTGGGATGGGGCAAAGTCCGTGAGGTACTGGGAGGACCCGCAGGGCCAGGGAAGTGACTGCTAGCAGGTGGACAGCAGAGAGGGAGCTGTGGTTTGGGTGGGGGTCCTACCGGCGTAAGCATTTGCAGGTTGTCCTGGAAGTTGCCCAGGAAGGCCATGCCAGCCATTCGCTGGGTCAGCCGCTCCACCTTGCTGAAGAGCAGCATGAAACGGTCCTCGGCTGCCAGCTCTTCCAGGGGCTGCCGCTCGCGCTCATATTGCCGCAGCAGCTTCACCTCTGCCTCCGTGGGCAGGAAGCGCATCAGGCACTCCACGAAGTCCACCGGTAGTGTCTGCAGGTCAAACCTGTGTAGGGGGGAGGAGCCCCTTCAGGTCTCATATTTGCCCACATTATCCATCATCCCTTTATTCTCCAGCTCCTAGCAGGACGGAGGGTGGAGTCTGTGAGCAGGACACAGCCAGAGGCAGAGGACCATTGTAGGGGGCCATTCCATGCCCTGCTTAGAAACCCTTCAATATCCTCCCTCTGCTCCTAGGGAGAAGTCTTAACACCTGAACATGGCTTAGGAGGCTCAGCCTGCAAGAATTTTGCTCACCTTTCTACCCTGTCTCTTCCACTCCCCTTCTTACACTAAAGCCACAGCCAATTTTCAGTACCCAGGACACCATGCTTCTCCCTCCAGGCCCTGAACTGGACTTCATATACTTCTTTCAGGTTGTGGATGAAATATCACCTCCCCTGCAAAGCCTTCCATGATTTCCCAGCTCAGCTACCTGGCCCTCCCTGTTCTCCCAAAGCTGCCTGTACCTCCATCGTGGTGGTGGTTATCACCCACCACCATCATGGTGATGGACTGTGTTACTGGACTGTTCCCACTAGACTGGGAGTTCCTTGAGTGAAGGTCTGGGCTGAATCCCCAGCATCTCACACATGCCTGGCACCCAGCATGGACGCAGTTAAGTTCTGGCCAAGCCAATGGATGACTGAGGGGTGTGAGGCAGTTCTGCCAATGCCCTGGAATCCAGGGAAGGCCAGGACCCAAGACAAAGAACTGGGTTAACAACTGGCTGGGGACCAGGGCCAGGTCAGTGGAAGCCTCACGTGTGGATAGCCCTGCAGATCTCCTCAGCTGAGCGGCCAGCCTTGCGTAGGGTGATGGCCAGGTTCTTGGCACGATTGGCTTCCAACAGGGTCACCTTGCTGGCAGCCTTTTGCGCTGTCTTATTCTTGGAGCAGATGAGGTCAAGGGCAGGGCCCTGGGCTTTCGTCTTGAACAGTTCTTCAAATTTGTCCAGGTCCAGGTCCTGGCAGAAGTTCACGAGAAGGAAAATGCTGTGGCCTCTTACTACTAGCGGAACCCTGGCAGCCCGCCCAGCAGCACTGGCTCAGCTCTGGATCATGGAGGGCTGAGCCTGAGGGCCAGGAGATCTGGCTAAAAGGGCAACATGGTTCCCAGCCCCCCAACTTCCCTCCCCCCCAGGGCCCCAGGCCCTGCTACCTCCAAGATCTTCTCATCATCGAGTTCACTGAAGACAGTGCCACTGATCTGGTTGGGTTTCAGCGCTGTCCAGTTGAAGACAGGCAGCCGGAACTTGGTCTTAATAGGTTTCTTGATGCGAATGGCTAATTTGGAAGGAGGATCAAATGAGGCAGGGACAAAGGACATGCTCCCTTGGTCCCACTAGCCCTGCCCAGAGCCCTGGGGGGACACTCACCTGACAGGCCTACTGTCAACACCACAGAGGGAGCAGCGCCAGGGAGAGGTGGGGCTGGAGGACACTTGCCTGGAGGAAGAAGAATGGCACAGTGGGCCAGGGGCCAAGAGACTTTTCAGAGGTCCCCTCCCCTTTTCCTGCCCAACCTGGCCTTAAACTGTCGGGGAAGGAGGCTGCATGAAGTCCCTGCTCCAGAGGCTCCCAGGGGTCTTAACTCTGACCGGGGCAGGTCTTGCTAGTCTGACCCACTGCTTGGGTCGAAGCCCTCTCCTCAACTGTCTTCAGAGGAACCGGGAACAGCAGCTTTGTGATCCTTAAAACAGATCCATGTCTGCCTTCAGACATCCTTTCCTAGTAGTAAGTTGAGCCTCCCTCAGATTCTAACCCCTCCTCAGCCCTTTCCCACCTGCCTTTACATCCTTCCAGCCACGTCCCCAGTTTCTTCCTGAGGAAGATACTGCTGACTAGGGTTTGAGTCTGGCCCCACAATGACGCTGCCCCTCCCAGCTCCTAGGGTCCTCCTTACCTGGTAACGGGGGAGGGGGCGGGGGCAAGGGAGGAGCAGGCGGAGGAGGCAGAGGGAGAGCCTCCTCGGGGGGCGGGGCTGGAGCCAGGAGGTCCAGGTCCGAGCGCGGCACGCCCTCGCTCAGCTCCGCAGGGCCCACCCGCGCCAGGGCCTCACTGCTGACAGACTCCAGGCCCCTGGCACTGGGCTCCAAGTGGCATCGACGCTGGAAGGCCTCCTCCTTCTCTTTAATGAGCCGCCGTAGGGTGTGCACTTGGTGGCTCGTGTTCTCATAGGTCTCCTGTTGGGCAGATGCACCATTCAGAAAAGAGAGGACTGAGGCCCAGCAGTCACTGACCCAGGAGTGAGACTTCCTACCCAATGGTCTCTCAGCTAGGGTCTCTGGGGCAGCACAAGAAACCCTGGTAAGCACCAGGGGAAACTGGAATGCAACAGAACAAAAGGTGAGCACAAGAGCCCTGTGGTGTCTGTCCTTCCTCTCCGCTCCAGCCTTAGTCTCGTTGGTCCCTCAAAGAAGGGACCTGGGTAGAAGATGCCCCTGGGTAACTCTCCAGCCTGCTGTGCGGCTCTCAGCCCTGTGTTCATCACTGCTCATTTCATGTGGCCTTGTGTACTCTCTCAGTTGGGAGCCCCTGTGGACAAGACCCTGCCTTAGCCATCTCCGTGTCCTCCATACTCCTTATGCACTTCAGACTCTTAGCCCCTAGGGGCTCAGCAGATACATACTGAGCTCAACAGAGCCAGCATAACTGTACTCTGGAAGAAAAGGTTGGTTGGAGCATGATTTTTATACACTAACAAAAAGTTAGCTGAGTGGACAGAGAAGCCACTGAAATATAAGGACCCCTGCTCTCCCGATTTAGGAGACCTGGTGGATATTCTAACAATAGCCCCAAGGACCTGGGTTACTCTGAGCCTGCTCATGACGCAGGGCTGGGGAAAGCGCTGGAGGTGCAGGGAGGGAAAAGCAGCAGGATGGGCTGGTGGGAGGAGACCCCAGAGGTGCCCCTGCTACCTGTCAGCTCCCACCCTCTTCTGTGCATGTCTGGCCTACTCTGGCTTCAGCTTCCTTCTCCAACCAAAAAATTGGGTGAAATCATCAGCCCACCCTTATCTGAGTGTCTCAAGGTCATGAATAAAGATCTGGATTCTCAAGGCCCTGAAATGACTCAGGAAAGAAAAACAAAGATCCTTAGGCCATGAAGCCCAACACCAGCCAGGAACTCCCTTCCCCTAGTTACTTGGTACCTTGATGCTCTCTAGTTCCTTCTCCCGCTGCAGCAGCTGCTTCTCTAGCTCGGCCACCCGCATCATGTTCTCGTTCTCTAGGTCCAGAAGCTTCTCCGTGAGCTGCAGGATGGGAAGGGCAGGTTTGGGGCTGGCTCTAAAGTCTGGGTACTCAGCACAGCCTAAGCCCAGTCAAGACCGGGGATGCAAAGGCAGCCTGGCCTGGTGGCTGCCCTACGTTGCTCCCGTGAGTCCAGGGTCTGAGACCACGTGAAACAGTACAAGACAAAGGGTCACATCTGACTCGCCCGAGCCAGAGGCCACCTCACGGCCAGTCCTCAGGTGAGTGTGAGTTCTGATCTGGGGACCATCCAGTGCCTCAGCCAGAGGGTGCGTCCTCAGACGGCCCCGGCCTCAGCCCGGAGGCCAGTAGGCAAGCTCCGGATTCCGGAGCTCAGGTGTCCCCACCCTGCCCGCCTTCAGCAATGGTTCTGGGGGCACAGGTGGGCCACCTACGTGGGACACATGCTCCTCCAGTTCTTCCACCTTCTCCAGGGCCACATTTTTGGTCTCAGCGTCCTCCAACAAACCCCCCACGTCAAACACGTTGTCCAGGTACGCCTGGATCTGCACCTGCAGCTTCTCGCTCTCTGTGTGCCTTGACTTCTAGGGAGAGCAGGGGGAGTAGTAAGTGGTTGGGGAGCCTCCTGAGGAAGACTTAGTCCTCACACCCTCCATGGCCATGTCCTGGAGCAGGAGACCCAGGAGATCCTCCTGCGGCCATGCCTGGTTCTTGCCCCTGCTGGAGCTGCCTGATCGGGGCGCCCTCAGCAGGAAGGAGGGGGGGCCTGAGTCCCTGGCCACAGAAGACAGGCAGGGATCCAGGGGCATCCAGGTCTAGGCTCTTGTAAAAGGAAAACCCTTGGTGATATGGCTAAGCTGGTCCTCTGCCCCGAAGTGCCTCACCCTGTACAGACTCAAGCCCACTCACCTGCAGGAACTCCTCCAGCCCCAGCTTAGTAAACTCATACTGCAGGTGGACCCGGAAGTTCATATCCTCCACCGAGTGCACCACAATGTTGATAAACTGCATGCAGGCCACCTGGGGAAGGAGCGGCCCAGATGGGCAGAGACAGGAAGGGCAGGAGACAGCGGGAGACAAGGAGGGTGGGCGGCCATTAGAACCGGCATTGTCAGGTGGGTAATCAAGAGCAGTGAATACAACAGGTTAAGTTTTCTGGGAGCAAAAGAGTATTTTAACTTTAAAAAATGTCAAACTTAATATTCAGTGTATGAAGGCAAGTAAATTACATGAGACATAGATGTAAATGAAGCTACAGCTCTCTGGTTTCCTCTGCACATTAGCAGGTACCCCTTGAGACATCCCGGCTTAGCTGAAGACCCTAGACTGACGGGCAGAGAAGCTGGAGGAAGATCTCAGGAAAGGGAAAGCAGTTCAGAAAGGATCCAAATCAGGGATGGTAAGGCCTATAAAAGGGGGAAAGGGGGCAGACCTGAGACCCTCAAGTGACATTGTCCTGAAGTTTCTAAAAGCTCTCTGGGGTGGGCGAATGGACAAGGGGCATTACTGGGTAGAGAAAATAATTTTTTTTCTACACAGAATATCAAAATCCGTTGTGAGCCTGGCCCCTGAGAACAGGGAGCAGGTGGCTCTGCTGGACATGCGCCTGACCCAGGCCCGGTTCCTCACCATGAAGTCGATGTTGCTGTCCTCATTCCGGAAATAGTCCATCAGCTTCTCAAAGCGGTGCAGCTCCTTGCATACCTGAACAAGCAGACTTCTCAGGGAAAGGACCTGCCCTAGGCAGAGCCCAAGGCCCTGAACTCTGGCTCCCAGGAGTATCACAGCAAAGGGACTGATTCAGACCAAGTTTAACCACTGCTATCTCTATTCAATGGACCATTCATGACACGACAGAAGAAAGCCTGGGACCTGGCACCTGCCCTGGGTCCCTGGTCCCCCACCAACTCACTTTAGGGAGCTCAGTAAAGCCCATGCCCTTAGTCTGGGCTTTAGTTGCCTCTGGGGGTAGGCCAAGAAGAAACATGGGGTCTGCTGTGGCCAAATTACTGAACGAAAGAGGGAGCAAGGAGGAAGGTTGGAGGCCATGGCTGAGATGGGAGGCTGGGGTCCTAGTGGGTACACGGGAGAGAGGCCAGGGTGCAGGAAAGCCCCTGTGCTGAGAGGGGTCCCGAGACTACTCTGAGCTCTGGCTTCAAGGAGGAAGAGCCATTTCCTGGCTGGAACAATGGATGTTAGGGAAGCAGTCCATAGAGGAGGAAGGGGTGGGACCAGCAGCTGTGGCTGGGTGTCGAGGAATCCTATGTTCAGGCAGACGGGGGTTTCAGAGCCAGGCCCAGAGCTGGGGAAATTCCAAGTAGAAGCTCCCTTTCCCCTCACCAGTAACAGCCACCACCCCAGGAGGATCCTTGCTTGCTTTTGCCTCCCACTTCAAAGACATCTGCCTTGGGTTCTACCAGTGGGTCCACTGCCTCAGAACTACCTGGGGAGCCTGTTAGAACACATACCCAGGCCTCCCAAGGGCCCATTTGTTCAACAAGCTCTTCAGGTATTCTAAGGCATGGCCAGGTTAGGACCCCTGGACTAGAGCCCTCAGATAGCTGAGGGCATCCTTAGCTGGCCAATCAAGAACTTTCCTCGCATATGATCTGATAAGACTAAAGTTCTGGTTTTGTGAAAAAAAAAAAAACCCCACAAAACATGGGGGTGGGGAGTGGCAGGTTACTTAGGTAAGCACTAGGATGTTAAAAATCACTGGGATGTATAAGGTTGCAGGAAAGGGTACTTACCTACCTGGCTCCCACCTCCCCC